GGGAATTTGAACGATCGACGTATGAAATTGCAGTTGTTCACAAGAGATTCAGGTCGTGTCACACGTGCCAATACCGTTCAGTAGGCTGGTTGGGCGAACGGTCACTTTCTCAGCTAATTCAAATGCTACCGCAAGCCCGACTCGGCGACTAGGGCTGGGGAGAGAAACATTGAATACAGCCCAAGGTCACCCAGTGCCAATGCCCAGAACAGCAGCCTCAAGCAACAAAAGCCCCAGTTAAATTAGAACTCGGCTATTCTGAAAAAACAACTGGAATTCTGCATGTAAGCCGCATAGCCCATGAAGCCTGGGACATCGCCCTCAGACCAAGTGACCAAGCGCCAGCACCGCGTCCCCGACACAGAAGGCACACACACAACATCCGCCCCAAGCCAAGTTCAAAAGCACCTGACAATACCTCCCAAATGCGCCCAGCACAGCCCCTAGCAACCTGGAGCCCTCCAAGCCGAACACCCAGTGCCAATCCAACAACACAGGCAGCCCAGTTGAATTAGAACTCGGTTGTTGGAGAAACCATGACTTTCTTAATGCTGAACTGCAGAACCCATGCAGCCTAGAAACATTGCCCTCAAACCAAGCACTAAAGTGTAGTGTTTGTTCGGCACATGCTGAGCATTGGTTCAGTACTAGTTCGGCATTGGTTGTGTGCTTTCCTTAGAAAGCTGAAAGCTATAGCTCTAACTTCTAATATTAAAGAGAGGAAAGTGATTTGCAAGATTGATGGCAGGGTGCCAGCAATAATGCAGTTTGGGGTGTTGCTGTTTGAGGTGCTGGTGACGGTGAGGGCGTTTTTTTTTTGTTTTTTGTAAGATTGACGGCCAGGTGCCAGGGCTGCAGTTTGTCACGCTGGTGTAGGGCTGTGTGAGGTGCCGGTGACGGTGCGGCGCTTTTTGCGAGATCGACAGCTGGGTGCTAGGGGTATTGGGGTACGCTGTTTGAGGTGCTGGTGACGTTGCGGGCGCATTGCGCAGGCTCTGTTTCAGCAGCTGGTGACGGTTGGTGCATTTTTGCGAGATTGATGGCAGGGCGCTGGTTGTGTGCTCGCGCATGCTGTTTGAGGTGCTGGTGAATGCGCCGCGTGCTAGGGCGCATGCAGTTTGGGATGCTGTTGCAGGTGCTGTTTGAGGTGCTGGTTACGAGCTGGGTGCTAGGGGTGTGTGATGACAGTTCTTTACCTGCAGATTTGCGCAGCCAAGGCTTTGCAGACAAAACGTCGGGAGCAGCGTGCAAGCCTCGACTGTTTTGCGGTATTTGAGGTTTATGCTGGTGTAATTGACAACTTGTATCAGTTCAGAGGGTCGATTTAGTATGTTGTGCTGATCTTGTATGCGTTTCGCCATATTGAGTCAGTGTTTGGTTTGTTATTGGCCTCGTATACCGTATAATTGAGTGGCCATGAATGTAGTCTTGGCTCAGTAACGATGTAGTGTTAGTGAATGCAGCATTGTGGTGTTGGCGCAGCATTGGTCGAGTGTCAGTATGATATAAGTTCAGCATAAGTTGCATTTGCGTAGTCGTTCTGAGTACTGGGTTTGCGGTTGCTTGACTTTAGTTCAGTAGTAGCTGAGTATTGTTTAGTATTGTTGCGGGATGGGGAAACTGTTTATTGGCAGGGAAATGGATTATGAATGTTACTGACAGTAAGACGTGCGGCATGTGGCGTGTGTTGTGCAGTGTGAGAGGGTGGTAAGTTGCGTCCCACCAAAGTTTGTCGGGCTTGGTTGACTCCTACTCCCCCTCTCGGATTTGCACACGGAGGCATCGGCAGCAGCAGCTGCTCGCGGCTGTTGCAGCTCAAGGAAGCAGCCTTTGGGATCCTGGCGCCCCGTGTGCCCCAAGGCGTGCAGGTACGCCTGCTGGGGCCATCAAATGTGGCAACCTTCCGGGATGAGGCGGGCGGCTTGGGGTTCCCGTGAACCGGTTTAGATGTCAAAGTGGGTGGCCTGTCGGATCAGAACAGGAAGCAACGAAGCTAGTTTGCTTTGTGGGTTTCTTGTCCTTTGCGTGTGCGGGCCCAGGTGGCCACGTATCCTGTGCTCACCGACCTCTTGAGCCTCCAGGCCTGGCCTCTGCCGCAGCGCCTTGTGCTTTGGGCCAAGTGCCTGGGTTCTCCGCTGGGGCTCCCCGAGCCCGAGCCCTCCGAGCCCTCCGAGCCCTCGCAGCTCTCCGAGCCCAAGGCGCTGCGAGAGGTGCACCTCTGGGCACTGCGGTGGAGCGCGTCGGCCAGCCATCTGAAGCTCGACACTGCGGAGCTTGAGGCGCTGCTGGCGACTGCCCTGCTGCTGATCGCCCGCGCCCCCAGACCCGGACATATGGAGAAGGCGAGCTGGAGGTGCACGTGCTTGGGCATGTGGTATCAACAAGTGATTGGGAGCATCTTGGACCTCGCGCGGATCATGAAGGCACGGGTGCTCCGACTGGCTGAAAACTGCAGCAGAAACCTGACTGACAACATTCAGTGTTTTTGTCCCGAGGTCTTGCCTGCTGTATCCCCGGCGCGGCTCTTCCACGGCCCGACTTTTCAGCAGCTCCTTTTGCTCTTCGCGCGCCACCCCGACACTCCCCCGCGCCGACGCGGGAAGATGGGCTTCCGCGGCCCCACAGTGGACCTGGCGACGTTGGGCAATTCTGAGGCCGGCAGCAAGTCACCCGTCGCCAAGGGGTTGCTCCGGATATCTCGGGGCCAAAGCGCCGGTTTGGGTGTGGGTAAGTCGGCCATGCCCACAGCAGCTGACAATTTTTGTGTTCGTCTTTGATAGTGAATGGACCCCAAGGAGGAGTTGCTGAAGATCCGGGAGACAGCGACCTTTCGAGCCTGGCGCGAAGAGGCGAGGGCACTGGGCATCAAACTCGGCATGGCAAGTTTCAGACTCGCGCCGAGCCAGGTCCTGCAAGGCCTCCAAGTGGAGGTGAAGAAGTCGGAGCCGGCTTGCACGGTCAACCCTTTCCACACACCCGACATGGCAGACGGGGTCGCGCCCGGTGTGAAGGGTTTGCCCATCGAAGCGCACAAGGCGGCGCTGTGCGCGACTCTTCTGCAGCACCGCGTCACCTGCGTGCATGGCGAGACGGGCTCGGGGACGCTTGGCAGAGCGGGAACGGGCACAAAGCCTGGCTTCATCGAGTTGGGAATGCCCAGCGAAGTATTTCCGTTGTTCGACGAAGCGGCAACGCAAGAGTTTACCCTTCTGTTGTTTTTGTCCTACCCTCGTATAGCGAAAGCATTCAGCCAGGAAGCGGACCATGGACAAACACACGCGTAGCTGCGTGTAGTCATGTAGTAAACATGTGTACATTGCGAGTGCCGGTAGCTGTGATTAACTTATGAATACGTCTCTTAGGGCACATATCATGTGTTGCTTTTGCTGGACATATTATGCTGAAGGCGCTCCAAAGCCTTGTCGAACATGTGCACTCTCTCACTTGAAGTATGGACAATGCGAGTGGGCCGGAGTGAGACAGATAATTGGTATGCCAATATCACAAGTGGGTGGGATCCTTGTGACAGAGGCAGTGGCCTACACAAACGCAATACTCGCCCCAAGATGACATATGGAGAGCCAAAACCTAAACAAATTTTCCGGGGTTGAAAGTTGGCAAAGGCAACTCTCGCATCAGAGAAGTAAATGGGAAGACAGCCATCATGCTTGAATAACTTTACCTGCTAAGGCACAGGTAAGCAGAACGCATAGTGGAAATGATACGATTCTTCAAGACGTGGTAGGACTGTCAATGACCGAGTTCCATATCTTCGGGTCCTACTTTGCGCTCCGGACAGCCCGTCGGAAGATACGAATTGCGACGTACTGCCACTTGGGCCAGCCCGTGATGAGCGGGTGGACAGCTCGAAGCCAGGCCCAAGCCTCATCTAACTTCTCCCAAGCCCCTCATGCTGGTAGCGTACACGTTGAGGCTACTCCGGGAAGATTGCTGCACTGCGCACGCGATCGCAGCGTGAGGGCCGTAGCATTGGTCTTGACCGCTGTAGTGCGATCCGGCCGATGTGCACACGCGAGCGTGAAAGCAGCCCCCGAGCCCACCTCCCCCGCTGCCCCGCGAGAGTGAAACCGGAAAAAAACTGGTAAAGCATGTACGATTCGCGTGCGCAAGTGTGTTTCTTGTATGTGCCCCCGCTTCATCCAATAGGTTGCATGTGCAGCTGTTTGTGGTAGTATTGGCCAGTACTAGTCACTTTGGCAACATAGCTGTCAAGCCCTCTTCCAGACTGCAGACTCTCAAGACTGCCACGCAATGGCCCTCCTTGCAAAGCCATGTTGCGGGGCATGATCCGCAAAAGATAGTTTCCAGGGAGTGCTCGCTTATCTCCGCAAACCTCACCGCTTTCTGGCCATGCGCATTTGCGATATTGCGGTCAGTTCATAGACATGCCGGTAGCAAGCATTGCCCACGACGTCAGGGTTCCACTCGACTCATATGCAACAAACTGAACAAGAAGAGAAGACTCCACAAGCAAGCGAACGAGTGTGCCTGCCGTCCCTGCCAGGTTGGTGATCTTTTTGCCCTTGCTTGCCAAAACAAGCGAGCAAGCAACACATGTGCCCTCATCAGTGACACGTGCTAAGGAAGAGTACCCAAGTGCCGCAGTATTTGCTAGAACTATTTGACGGCGCTCAGATTGCTGTGACGCAGCCCAGACGGATGGCAGCCATCAATTTGGCCAAAAGGGTGGCGAAGGAGAGGGGAGAAGCTTTGGGCGAGACGGTGGGCTACCGCATTGGTGGCGACAGCGCTGTAGGCAGGGGTCGTACAACAGGTGGGGTCTCGCAGAAGGAAAGGAGTTTTCTTGTGGGATGGCAGAGGCTATTGACAGGAGCAGCAGTCTGTCTTGTTCTCATTGTTCCCCACTGACCAAATTGGGGTTGTTAGATTTTAAGTGACTCCGCACGCCCGCCGACAGAGGCTGTGACAAACAGATATTACAGACAGCTGTGACAGAGCCTGTGGCAGACAGCTGGACAGAGCCTGAGAGAGAGCCAAAAGTAGCTTTGACAGAGGCTGTGACAGAGTTGGTGGCTGGGCCACGGCAGCAACTACAGCCCGAGCGCCAGTGGCCGTGCCCGGGAAGCAGTGACAGCCGCCAGCGGGCGGACCAGCGCAAAGCTTGCAACGCCGTGCAGAGAGTGCCAACAGAGTGCAACGCCTGGAGTGTGTCGCGCTGCCTGTGGGAGCTTGCTACATGGGGGTCGTCGAAGTAACTAAGGTAATTCAAGCTGCTTTCTTTGAAGAACATGTCCTGTTCGTTATTATCAGGTGCCTGCACAGGAGTTTCCTTTTTTGCTACCCAAAGGATTGGGAAGGAAGGAACACGTCGATTAAGAACTACCGCGCCAGGCCGGCAACTGAATTTCCAAACCACTGGCTGGCTGCTGAGAGCATTGGTCAGCGACACCAACCGCCTGGGCAAGCTCACCCATGTGGCCTGTAAGTCATTTATTTCACTGAGTTAATGTGGAGGTGGGGGCTTTGGAGATTGCTGTTGGTGGGGGCTCATGGACTGCAAGCCAAGCGTTGGGGAAGGTCTGGTTTTCATGCCGCAAGATGCCGCAAGCATGTCCTTCAGATACCAACAGGCATTCTCTAGGAGGTTACCGAATTGTGTGCCGAGTCTTCCAATGATACTTCCCAAGCGCACCAAAGGGGCTGTAGGACAGCCTAGCAAGCCTTCCCATACATCATGGTGTTTTGTGGCTTTGCTTTGTGGATCGGAAAGTTTAGGTTGTCTTCGACGAGATCCATGAGCGCTCGGCGGACGCAGACTTCCTAAGCTTGGTAGTCCGGCTTCTGCTGCACCGCTTCCCGACGGTGCGGTTGGCGGCTGGGGCGAAATCGGCGTGGCTTGTGCGTGTGAATATTGGAGACCCGAGACGGTTGCAAACCAACTGAGCAACGTCAAAAACCTTTGTGTGCATGTTTATTAAGAGGGGCGTCATATCGATCTGTGCATTGGCATTGTATGCAAAACTTACACATGTGTCGCATAAGCCAAAACGTGCGTTGCGTAAGGTGTGTGTTTGTGGGTGAGTAAGCAAAATGACCCGACGTAGCAACTCATGACATGCTTAGGACATGGCTCAACTGCAAGCAAGCTGCTGCGGGAGGGTCCTGGGTTCAGCGCGCAAACGCACAAGCACTTTTTCAAAGGGAGGTAAGTTTATCGTTAAGGGTGCCGGGGACCAAAGCACAAACAACGTCAAACAGTTCGAATGAGACCTGGCGGACTGTCACAGACTCCCCGAAGCTGGAGAAAACAAGAGGCTAGCCATGGCGGCCGGAGAGAGTTCGCTCGGGCCCGATCACGAGTAGAGACAGACGCCAAAAACCACGGCCAAGCTCCATGGCAGCGCCAGCTTCGACAACGCGAGGGACTGCAAGAAAAACAACTTGACGCAATCCTTGAAAGCTGCGCTTGGCCAGGCCTGAACCTCAAAGGAAGTTTGGGCCTCAAACACGTCGCTTGCATATACCCGCACAACGTGCTGCAGGCGTTTAAAGAAGAACAGGGAAGGGTGCGGCGATGCCTAGGCTGCCTTGCGACCGACAGCCACAGTAGAGTTGGCGCCTTGACTCTTGACGGACGTGACAAGCGAGGCAGATGTGGTGCAGCATACACAGACTTTTTGTAGGGCTGGTCAACAGTGGCAAAGGCAGCAAGATGTAATCTGATACGCTGGTGGCGTTTCAATCATTTGGGCTGGAGTAGGTCCAATTTCCTCAAGGGCTCCCCGACAAATGTAATTTTACCTTTTCATGATATTGTATCTTGGTTATGTGTGAGGTGCCTTGCTGATGGGTCCACCAGACGCCCAACATGAATTGTTACTTGGTCCACCAGACGCCCAACATGAATTATTACATGTGTCAGGTCTGCAGAAAAATGTAACCCTGACTTTTTAGGTGGCAACCCTAATTTCGGAAATTCAAATTACATTTTCAGACGACCCCACCCGCACCGCGACACTTGGCTGGAAAAAGCCTGCGCTCTCAGGTGATCATGTCTGCCACATTGCAGGCGAACCTCTTCAGGAGCCGGGCAGGCTGACTTGAGCTTGGCTCTCATTGCCTGTTGCTAGTTTTGGGGAGTGCCAATCTGAGATGGCACACTTTGTTTTCAAGTGTCTATGGCCCAATTCTCCGACGTGGGGTGTTTGGAAGTCACGAGTGCCAGGGATGTGTAGCATGGCGATATGGCGGTTGCACGACAACAGATACCAGTGCAGTATACCTGAATCCAACCAGTCTTTGCACACTGCTTGCTGGGAAATCAAGGTGCCAAACTACATTCCCCCCCCCCCCCATCCCCACAAAGCAACATCGGAAAACACACCGGGGTGGGGCCCGCTTGCATTTGTTTTTTGTGAAAGTGCATGAGACGTCCCTCCCCCACCCCCCACCCCCCATTTTCGGACCGTAAGGGTGGAGATTACCCTTCTGCAGAGGATCACTCCTTTCTTCGTTGGCCTCCTTTTTCTCCGGCTTTTTGTTTGTGACGGGGCGCTTGTGGAGGTTCCGTGCTTTTCTTGCGACTTTCAGCCTCAAGGAGCTACTTCCGCGAGCTGCAGCTCAACGAGGAGGAGGTCCCCGTGGTCCCTGTAGGCGGACGGTGCTTCAAGGCACCGCTTGTTGAAGCTGAAAGGTCAAGAGCCTGGTTGGGCCCGCCTTTTGGGCGAACAGAGGGGTTCATGAAAGGTACCAAACAAATCGAGAAACATCCATGTGTTTCTAAGGCTAAGACCCACATCGCATTTGTTTTGTGCCACAGCTTCCGCTTTCTCCGGCGAACCGGGTCCGCCTGACCCATCTGGGCCGAGGTGCAGCCAGTCTTCCTAGATGAGCTCCAGGACTTCTGCGGTGCGGCGCTGGGCGAGAGAAACTCGGCGCTGCTGGCGCGGATGCAGCAAAAGTTTAAGGAGCGGGGTCCTTGAGCAGCAGCAGTGGCATGCGCGCACCAATATCACAGCCATCAAGGCCACGCATGGGCAGACACGAAGTTGAGTCTGCACATGTTCAAGACAAATGCAGTTCTTGTGTTTGTTTGCAGCGACGTGGACTTCTCCAAGTCGTTGGTCATGTTGTTTTTTGTTGTTGTTCGATATCCCTTCCGTATTCAAACAGTTCCGTTGTTTGTCTCCGGACAGTTCGCCGCCTTTGCCAGAGGACCAAGACATGGCCACGAAGTCCTCCCAGGCCTTGGCCGAGTTCTGCACCTGGGCCAAAGGCGTCCGTTCGTGGCTTCCAAAGGAGCTGAGAGAGGGGATTTGCCGATTTGCAGTTCATGGACTGACTTCACGGTGTCTTCCTTTCGGGCAACTGCCCCCGAGACTGCCGTTCCTGTCGGGGTTTGCGACGCCGACTTGGGCCCAGGTTCATCGATGTCACCGCTGGTGATTTCCCTCTTGAGCTTCCTGGCGCGACCCAGGCGAGACTTGGGAGGGCTTGAGACCAGTCACACTCAATTCCTTTGGGACGAACTGACTAGAGTCTCTGCACTGGAGACCCAGGTGCACCATCCTCGTCTTTCTGCCAGGGATCCTCGAAATCACGAGCATCTATGAGGAGAATCTGGCAGTCATTTTAAGGTTTGGGCGCTGGTTGAACCAGTTGCGCAGCCATGCATATTATGCATAGTGTGCCTAATGATTTTCCCCGAGATCGAGTCGATCGAAGGAGTGCCAGAGCTACCTTCATGCCATCGACGGCGCAGAGGAGTCCGAGGAGAGAGAAGCGCAAACAAAGCCCTCCAAGATGCTGGAATACAAGGCTCGCAATGCTCGCGATACGCAGCCACAGGTTCATTTCCGAGGCGAGCGCCCAACCACATGCGACCTGCAATACCCAATGCGCAAAACGCGTGACTATGACGTGTGAGGTGTGTTGACCTGTTCCATTAGTCTATCGCAATGCCAAGTGCTCGGTGACTGGGCTGAAGTTTCGGCGAGGTCTTCGCGATGCATTCGCAGATCCCCACGGAGGACCAGATGCATGTCTTCCAGGAGCCGAAGCCAGGACGGGGGAGGGAGGGGAGAAAGAGAAAGGGGAGGCTCTGATCTCGGAACCTGAGTTTGCGGAATGGTTTTTGTGCGTCTTTGTTCCGGAATGCTTGGCTGGAAGCGTGGTTCAAGCGTTCAAAAGAGCGAAATACAACCTGGCCAGGTGATTGAGGTGGCTTTGACAGGATGAGAGAGGAGGCAGACGGCTCGGTCTTCTGTCGACACTGCAAGCACAGAACAAGTTTTTTCTGCCTCAGGCAGAAGTTGGGTTTTTTTCGCGCACAGCATCCGAACTTGCCCCGCTCCACGGCTGCTTTCCAGTGACCTTCAGCTCACCCTGCTTGCAGATGTGGGAACCTCTATGATGGACCAGATGTCCATTTGCTCTTGTTATTTCAACAACGCCAAAAACACCACCCTGAAAAGCACAAACCATGTTTCTCCCGTTTGATGGATTGAAACATCTCGTTTCCGGCCGTGAGTTTCCTTTTATTGACTAGTGTGATGTTGAAAGGCGAAACGCAGGGACCCTGTTTAACGTGCCAGCTAAACCAGACTTGTGCATCTCCCCAAGGGAGGCAAGGGCAGAGAGAGAGAGAGAGAGGGAGAGACCTACATTCACATCCCATATTTACCATATGTTCCTCCCCCAATATTGGTGCACCACATTACGCAACATTTGCCATATGTCTCATATTCACTACATTTACCATGTTTACAGTTGTGCTTTTGGTTTCCCATATGTACCTCCATCAGAGTTGGAGAAGCTGGTTTCTCAAGAGCGACTTGGGGAGCTTGGAGAATGGCAATGTGTGGCTGGGCCCCCTGCTCCGCTTTGCAACTGCAACTCGCAGGAGTGTGCCACTTCGTGCTCGCTTCCAATGTGGCGGAGAGCTCCTTGACGCTGCCCAACGTGTGTGCGGTGATCGACCTGGGCTTGCACAAGCAGCAGGTCTACAACCATCGCCTCAGGCGGGGGCTGTCAAAGCGGCTTTATTCTTTATAGTACTATTCTTTATAGTATTTACGATGTATTTACGTCATCTATATTTGTTGCCTATGATCTTCGGGAACTCTCAGCTGGGAATTGATACTTGCAGGAGGGTCCTTGCAGCCTTCCTTGCAGCCGAACAGTCTGAAACCCCCTCAGCAACTCAGCGTGCGTTCTTTGTCAGATCGCTCCAGGAAGCAACCGGGAATTCTGAATACCATGAGTTGTGTCCGACCGTGACTTCCTCTTGGAACACGTTTTTGCCCCACGCTTGGCCTTTTTGTTCCTGCTAACGCTTCATGAAGCGAAGCACTCATAGCTTTTCCGAGGATGACCTACCTCTCCCTAAAGTGGACCAGCCGAGCCTCCGCACACCAGCGGAGCGGGCGCGCGGGCCGCACCATGGAGGGTGTCGCTGTCCGGCTGCCTCTCGGCTCAGGGACCAGTGGGAGTCCTTTCAAGGCCCGTAGCTCATGGACATGAAAGGAACATTAAGGAACTGTGTGGGTATCCTGGGAAGGCATGTGTGCTCAAGGAACAAGACTCTGCCGCATACGGAAGCAAAAGTGCCCTGAACACAGACATAGCGAATTCAGCTATGATTGTGCTGTGGTTGCGGCTGGCGTAGTAGGCCGATGCCGCAATCCTTTATGTCGCTCCTTCTTGAGCTGGTTGAGCTTGTTGAGCTTCTTGTTGGGGCAACAATGTTTCCAGGCCGCCTCCTTGTTGCATTTGTTCAGTTGTCTGTGGAGATATGACTCGTCGCCATGCTGTCTTCGTCGAAGATCACTGGCGTGCGTCCTCAATCATTGAGGTATCCGAAGAAGTTCTATGAGGCTTTGCCGGAGTTCGACCGGCCGGAGACCGCCTCCTTGCCCCTGCCACGACTCTACTTGCAGGCAAAGCAGCTCTCATCAGACTTGGCCTCCGGTGGCGTCTCTTGACCTGCAAGGTGCAGCGTCGGTTTCGCCTTAGGCCATGTTGAGAACTGTTAGGAACATGCTGCAGTCAGCTTGACGGCAATCTCACAAATTGCCTTGCGCGCGGCTTGGCACGCTGAATTCCCTTGGGTCTCTGGGACAGCAGTCCGTGCAATGACACGGACCGACCCAAGCATGCCCAGGCAAAGCTTTTCGGTTGGAATAAATCTCGGGAGATGAGGCGGAGGCGCCGGGCAGCGCTTGCTCGGTGCTCAGCGGACTGGTGGACCCCCCCGACCTGTCGATCATCGAGGCCTCGCGCCGAGAGCTCGCGGAAGGCCACGCGCTCGCGAGCCCCGAGGAGGAGGCTGACATGACGAGCGTGGCCTGACGGAGAGCACGGGGCCTTGATGTTGCCGCATTGACCTTGGCAGGAACAGGCAGGTCATAGGATTGGTGATGGTCCCTCCAAGTGAATGCCGTTGCTGACCAGTTAGTCGTAGCCCTTTCCCGCTCTCAGGTCGGAAAGGCGTGCTTGAGCCTCCCTTTTGATCTCAGCCTTTGCCGCTTGGTGTGGCTCAGCGTCCATTGGGGGTGTGCTGCAGATGGGGTGATCTTGGCTTGCAGCTTGTCGGTCCAGGACGTCCAAGAGAAAACAATCAGTTTCAGTTGTGGGTCTTGTGTCCACAGCAGGGGCCTCACAGAAAGGCTGCAAAAATCGAAAGTGGTTCAAAAAGGCCCGCGCGCTGATCGTAGCGTCATAGCCATCACCTGGCAGGACCCCTTCTCGAGCCCTTCCGCTTTCACTTGCCCGGACTTGGTGGAGTTAGGCCAAAAGCTCCGGCGGAGCAATGCGAGCCGCCGGAAGTTTGACGCCGGCAGAGCCTCTCAACCCCTGGCGCTGAGGGAACTCTTCAAGGAGGGCGGGGCTGCGCACATTTGTGGCTTTGTGGATTGTTTTGGAGTGGTTGAGACAATTCAGATAGGGATGAGGTGCTGGGGGTGTTGGGGCGCCTCCTAGCTTATGTTTGAGGTTGACATTGCGTATTTGCTGACGATATCTGATGACAATTTGGGGTTGTATAATAACTGCATGCAATTCAATTGCGTTTTGCTTGGGCTGGCTAGGGGAGAGTGACAAGCTTCAAAATGTCCTGATTAAAAACAAGGATGTTGCGATCTAGAACCCGCTTGAACATGCTGATCCTGAAGTTTCAGCACTGGCAATAGGCAAGCGACGGAAACAAGCAGTTGCAAAACGAAAGCAATAATGACACCTGCCCAAACTTGGTGTGATCCAGCCACTACTGCTGCTGCTGCTGCTGCAGCTACTACTAGTACTAGTACTAGTGCTAGGACCAGCGCTAGTACTGGTGCTGTGCTGCTGCGACTCCTACAACTCCAACTTCTACTACTACTACCACTACTACTACTACTGCTACTGCTACTGCTACTGCTACTGCTACTGCTACTGCTACTGCTACTGCTACTGCTACTGCTACTGCCGCTGCTACTACTACTGTGATTGCTACTGCTGCTACTACTACTACTACTACTACTACTACTACAACTACTACTACTACTACTACTACTACCACAACAACAACAACAACAACTACTACTACAACAACAACAACAACAACAACAACAACAACTACTACTACTACTACTACTACTACTACTACTGGAACTACTACTACTACTACTACTACTACTACTACTACTACTACTACTACTACTACTACTACTACTACTACTACTAGAACTACTACTACTACTACTACGACTACTACTACTAGAACTACTACTACTACTATTGCTGCTACTACTACTGGAACTACTACTACTACTACTACTACTACTACTACTACTACTACCACTACCACTACCACTACCACTACCACTACCACTACCACTACCACGACCACTACCACTACCACTACCACTACCACTACCACTACCACTACCACTACCACTACCACTACCACTACCACTACCACTACCACTACCACTACCACTACCACTCATGTGGAAACATGGAAACATGGCTTGTGTGAGAAATGCTTGACCAAAATGGCGCTTGCCATTTTGGCTCAAGCTCGGACCAACCGTTCCACAACTTCAAATAAGCTTTCGCCTTGACCCCCCGCTCCCTTTCATTTCGCCATGGCATCCTCTACCTCAGCAACCTTGTTTGAGCTTGTGGAGGATCAGCGAAGGAGATCAAGCTCCCAGGATGGACTCCCTCCCCGAGACAATATCACCTGAAGTTGGAGCCGAGTCCGGTTCCCGGACGCAGGTGGAGAATTTGAGGCCAGGTGGAGAATTTGAGGCCCCCGATACGATGCCCGGGATCCATTCCATCGGCGGCCCGCCTCCTTAGGGGCATCACTATGGACCCACGTCCCCACGAAGGTGCAGCTACGTCAGGAAGCGAAACAAGCAAGAACGAAAAGGCGAAGCGCCCTCCGCGCGGCCGGAGCGCGGCGGACTATGACCGCATGTGCGCGGAGTGCGGCAGTGGGTGGCCATCCACTCGGCGAAGTGCTGGGCCTGCACGAGCACCACGGCGGTCCCCTCCAGCGGCTCTCGAAGTTGTACAAGGCGGACGGTGTCCTCTGGAACCTGGTCATCCTCAACGGCAAGCCGACGCCAGGGCCTTCACGGCCCTGGGAAGGGCCCCTCCACGCACGTCCACGATGGAGGAGGTCACGATGCCATAAACATGCTTGTTACAGATTTTGCGCACGGAGGTAGACGACAAGGCTATGGCGGTGCGCAAGGACAGGGAGTACATGTTGAAGACCCAGTACCACTTGCCCGCGACACGCAAGAGACCGCCCACAGATTGATCAGGCTGCTGCGGCGCAGGCTGGGCTGTTCCAATCTCAGCGGAAGCGGCAGAGGCGGAGACTGTTGAGAACATGGAGACCACTGGCACGCAGTCCATCCCGGTTGGCAGCGCGGGGGCTTGGGCCCTCACCTGCAGATGTTTCAAGCCCACGCAGACTGGCAAGGCCCTGGACGGAACTTCGGATGTCTGATCCGCGACCCAGGGACAAGAAGCTGCGTACGGTGGACGGCGTCTGAGCCACGTTTCGGATGTTGGCCGGAGCCAAGCTCCCAGAAATGCCAGGGCAAAACCCGGATGATGCCAGTCGTAACACAGGGCCCTGTGGCCATCCCATGGCAAACCTCGGACGGAGGCTGCGGCAAAAGCCGGCTGGCTTCTCTCTTGTTTTTCTGTGGAACGGAGGTGTTTTTGAGGTTTCGGGGATCATGGCCAGGGCTTGTTCCTGGGACTTGCTACCCAAGAGTTTCTTCAGTTTTGTGGTGCGCCCGAAAATCCGCTGCCAACAAACATTTGCTGGTAGTGGAGGTGCTGCAGAGCATTGTGGAAGGCCACTCCATCTCAGCAAAGGAGATTGATAAGGCTTGGGCTGTATCCAGTGGGCCACGTCGGTTTGCCCGGCCAAGTCCCTCCCCTGGATTGCTGCGGATGCTGGCTTCTTGCTCCGAAAACTCTTCCCTACCAGCGCCCCGCAAGGACTGAGCACACCCATTGCTGTTGCACCCTTTTCCTCTGCAAAATGCTCCTCCTCTGCCAGAACCCCCCTTTCTTCCAGGGTGAGGATCCATGTGGGGAGCGACAGCCAAGGGAACGTCATGCTCAACCTGCGCTCCACGAAGCCTGCTTATGGAACTTGTCCTTCTTCTGCACAGAAATGGCTGCGGGCGGCAAACCGCATCCCCCGCAAGTTTAATGAGTGGGCCGATGAGTTGACCCACCCGAACTTCGTCGGCTACAGCGAGGAGCTTGTCAGACCTTTGCTCCAATTTGCTCTTTCTGCCCCGTATCCTAAACGGGGAGAACTTTGATCTTACCCTCTCATTTTCGCTGCTTGTGGCGTGCTGGCCGGCGCTACTCAGCCTGGCACACCCATTTCAGGGAAGCTTTCTCTGGATGGGATGTCACACCCACTCCAGACCGGATTTTTAACTTGACAGGAGCGGGGAGCCCGGCGTCTACACAATGCTTGGACTCAAAAAGGGGGTGACCACTTTTGTGTATCGGCCTTTTTGGGTTAGCTTGCTTGCACTACTACTACTACTACTACTGCTACTACTGCTACTACTGCTACTACTACTACTGCTACTGCTACTCCTACTACTACTACTACTACTACTACTACTACTACTACTACTACTACTACTACTACTACTACTACTATGACTCTTCCTTCTGCTGTCATTCTTCTTTGTTTGCTTTGGCTTCAAATCTCTCTTTCTCTCTTTCTCTTTATCTCTCTGTTCCTGGCTGGCTGGCTGGCTGGCTGGTTGGTTGGTTGGTTGGCTGGCTGGCTGGCTGGCTGGCTGGCTGGCTGTCGGCGTCGCCAGCCTCGCTTCAACCTGGGATGTTGGAGTTGTTTTTTTTGTGGCTAAGACATAAGCTCTTGCAGAGCGCGGGTCTTGGGTCGGTTTTGGTGGTGGCTACTGTTGGGGTTAGGGCTGACTTTGGGTGGGTTTGGGGTTGGAGGAGCTGATTTGTGTCAGGTGTTCTGAATTGATTTTTGGGCTGGCTTAGGATTGGCATTGGAGCGTTGCCGCAAACCACCAGGACTAGCCCAAAGAAACTAGACGACGATTGGCCCGGAAGAAAAAGGCAAGTTGATGCAGGCAACTCTCGAGAAGTTGGCAAGAGAAGTTGGCAGGTGCCAAAAGTTGCAGGAGAAGTTGTTTTCCAAAAGTTTGCACGAGAGGCTGGCAGGTAAAAAACTCGCTCAGTTGGCATGAGAAGTTGGCAGGTGAAGTATCAGGTGAAGTAACTCTCGGAAACTTGGCGCGCACAACCACCCCCATGCGGTCTCACAAAGGCGGGACCATTGGCACGGCCACGCTCGGCGGGTCGACCCTCAAACATTTGTGGTTTTGACAATGTTTATTCTTTTCGTGAGACCAGCGGACTTTGAGGAGGGTAGAGCTGTTGCTTTCCCAGGGCTGTTGTTTTCACAGCGCTGGTTTTTCTGAGGGCTGCAACGTTCTCAGCCTGGGGCAAAAGGCGGCGTCCTCAGCATCACCAGCCTCACTTGCCTGTTGGAACAAAGCGCCTTCTTCTAAAAGCAGGTGGGTATTCACCCAGCTTCGCCTGCCAACTTTGCGAGAGTTACTTCAGTTTTCAAACTCTTGCTATTCCCAAGGATGTTCCGAAGCCCGTCCCTGTGAGGAGTTTTGGCACACCTTGAAGGCGGCCCCTGGCCAGAATGGCCGCCGTGCTTGGCTGAAGCACGCGCACAACATGGCGGCGACGAACGCCGTGATCCCGCGGCGCCTGACGGAGTTCGTCGCGCAGGTGGAGGAGGTGGCGCAACGATTGCTGGCCATCGTGAAGAAGGAAAGCAAAGTGGAGAGGCAGCTGGCAGCGCTTTTGAAAGGCTGGGGCTTTGACCTCTCCAAACGCTTGGGGCGAAAGTGAAACCCAATGCGCTCAACACGCGTTTCTTGTTTCAGAACTGGCTCAAGATGTTGTCAATCGGACCCAAGCGAACATTTGGTGCGGGGAACAAGGAGGGCGTCCCGTGCTCCAAGAGGCTTGGGTCGGAGAGCGCTGGGGGCGGCGGGTGCCGCAGCGGCGGCAGATGACGCGGGCTATGAGGGGCCCACAATCTGGGAACAGGGCGAGGAGGTGTGGCAGGCTGGGCCCCAATGGATGACAGGGAGATGTGGACGGGCCTTGCGTCAAAGCAAGCAGCCTTGCCCTGTTTCCTGTAGAGTGATTGTACATGGGTTCCGCACGGACAAACACGCGTGTAGCATCCTGGAAGCCATTTGTTGGAGCCCAATTAGGGTGGACGGGCGTTTCTCCTTGTTCTACATTGGTTTTTCGGTATGCAAGGGAATCCTGCTTCCGGATGTCAATCACATTGCCGTGACAACTTTGATTTGTTGCTAAGTCTACCTTAGGCAATTCAGCCATTCTGGCAGGATGTCCCCAACGCAGCTCGAAAGCCTTGCTACAAGGTCTTTGAAAAGCCGCTCGATCCAAAGGTGGCTCCCGGCTTTGGGGGGGGCCCTCGCAAGGCCCGTGACATAATTTCTTGGAAGGTTCTGCAAGCGGCCCACTTTTGTGACGGCAACTGCGCAGGAGTCCAGTGGCTGTCAGTGGGGTCGAGGACATCATATACCTAGGGAGAAATCGTCCGACTTAAATTGTTGGGCCAAGTGCCATGTCACTCGCAGCTACCAGTCTGAGGCCGTCGCAGCCACTGGATGTGCGCCCAGTCATACAAGCTTTCTGGGAAGAATGCTTTGGCCTCCGAGGAACGTAGCTGTGCTTCGGGCCCTGCTGGCGGCGAGCTTCTCCGAGCGCCTGATGGTCACGCGGAAGCCTGCGGGGAGTCCGAGTTCCGCCAAAGCAAAGCAGAATAAGTTTCCTTGTCAGCTTTTTTCATCAAAGCGTCCTCACAAGCCTCGCCCTTCCAATTGTCAATGGTCGGCTCTCTTTCAAAGCTGCCGGGGTCCATTGCCCCGGCACGTCAATTTGGGCAAGTGTTGTCCAGTCTGTTGTCAGAGTTGGGTTGGCAGTGACGAAAGTGGAGATTTCGGTAGCTTTGACAGGTCCGGAAAGCCGACTGGCAGCTCTGCAGCATGGCGCAGCTTTGTGACCCCCGCAGGAGCTTGCTGCTGACGCTACCTGAAGGCTTTGGGAAGGGAACATGCAGAACACGCGTGAAACATGCAGCACGTTGTTCATAAGCGCAGAACTCAAAATGATCGGAAGGTTTTTGAGAGCAGCGCACGGACGTTTCAACGTCCTTGCTTGCAGAAACCTGTTTGTTCGCTCGTGGCGCATTGGCATTGGTGAACCAGGGGACCCAACGCGGATGGGGCAGGTCGATGTGTGCCTGTCTACGAAGCAACACTTCGCAGGTATCGATGGCGACCCTTGCAAGTTCCTCGCCTTGATGACGGGATCCGCCAGTGCCAACCTCAAAAACTGTGGGCCCATCGGCGAGGACTACCTGTGCATTGATGCTTTTTCTAGGAATTATGGGAAGGGGAGCCATGGAAGAAACACAGCAAAAGACAGTGGAATGGATGGGTTTCCGCTGCAATGGAATGTGGGGCCCTTTCAGCAGGCACAGCCCTACACGCCGGCCAAGGCGTGCTTTGATCGCCACTGTCAAGTCTACTTTAACGACTCCGGTTCTGGCTGCCGACATTGCAGGCCTGCTTTCCTATTTCTTATTCGCGTCCCTTTGGAATTGTCACCTTGCTCCCCTTCCCCCTCTAAGCTCTTTTCCCCCCCGGCGGGGCCCGTCCCCCCTGAGATCTTCTCCCTTTTCCTCCCTAAGATCTTTTCCCCCAGAAAGGAAATAATGGGATAGTCTTTAATGTAAGATAATAAGATCTCAGATTTAGAATTGTTGCCCAAAAGTTAAGAGATGTAAGACATGAAGATATACCAGAGATTAATAATCCTAATATAAGATTTCCTGTACTTGAAGGTGATAAAGTCAAAACAGAAGTGGATAATGGTGGATATAATGTCCATCCTGTACCACCTCCAAATTCTGAGATTAAAGAAAGGATTAGGAAAGGATCTGAAAGTAAAATAATTATGATAGAAACAATTATTGACCCTAGGATATACCACTTCTGGAGATCCTTGAAAGATAGGTACAAAATAATTTCCAAATCCTCCAAACAAGCCAGGCATTACTCAAAAGAAGATCATAAGAAAGCCATGCAATGTAATGCTTATATTATAGAAGTTCTGGTTTTCTGGGGATATAATCCTATTTCGTGATGAATATAATTCTATTCTTAGAAGGACTGATATTGATGTACCGGAGATTCCAAAGATGAATCCAACTAATAAATACTAGACTCCTAAGCCTTTATGATTACAGTTTTTAACTAGTGAATGAAAATTTAAAGTAAAATAATAACATAGAAATAATATAAGTCTAGATTTTAATGGATTTCTTTTCTTTTGGTTGCCTTTCTATTTGGAATTATATTATATTTGGTTATGGTGTTATTATGTTTTGTTCATTTAATTTATTTGTATTGTAAGCTTCATATCTTTGTCTTTTCTTTTAATATTCTTTTATTTGCTTCGTTCGGAGATTTCCTATGGCTACAGAAAGAACTAAACAAATAATAAACATGAATTATGAAAATATAGAAAATATAACTGAACAATATAAAAAGTAAAAGAAAGATAAATACCAACTAATATTCTAGAAATCTTTTTAACCAATGCAAATTAAGATAATAAATATAATGTAAACATAAAAAATATAAAAACAAATATAATAAAATAGTAAAAGAAATAGAATATATTTCTCTTTATCTTAGTCTTGTTCATATGTTTAAATATTGTATATATTTTTAAGATTTTATGTTCGGAATCTTATGTTCGGAATCATTTGTTGGCAAATATTTTCAAGATGTTAAGAATAAAAAGATGATTCCAAAGACAAGAAATGCAATATAAGAATAGTAGATTACAATAATAAAACATATTAGATTAATAATAAGACAGTTAGAAGATGAACATAATACTAAACAAACATATTAATTGTCTTCTTCATATCTGTTTCCTTTCTTATTAGCCTTTCATCTTCATTTTTGGGATCAATAATAATACAATATGAAAATGCTCATACCTTTCTTTTTCTTTCATTATTGTTACATCTTTAAAAATCTTGACTTTTGGGTCCCAAATCCATCCTTCTATCTCTATCTTCTCTTTTCCTTATCTGTTCATGCTTTTCTTTCATTATTTTCATCTCCAAATTCACTTCTTAAAAATAATAGAAGACAGATAATACAAGCATGAACATATTGCAAAGGAAAAGAGATGGAATGAATGATATCTTGTCCATAATAATTCTTTTATTTTCTGTGTCTTTCTTTTTTCATATTTTCTATTGTCATCTTTTCCATAATTCTCCAATCTATTTCTTTCTTATGATTCAATATTTAATGGATTTGGAACAGAAACAGTGATTAGTAAAAAGAAAGGGTTCCACGTTCCCTGTTGAGATCCTTTCCCCCATTCCCCCCTAAGGCCTTTTCCCCCCTGAGATCTTCTCCCTTTTCCTCCCTAAGACCTTTTTCCCCCTTTCCCTGTTGAGATCCTTTCCCCCCATTCTTTTCTAAGGCCTCTCAATCTCTGAGATCTTCTCCCTGTCCCTCCCGAAGATATTTTCCCCCCTTTCCCTAGATCCTTTCCCCCATTTCCTTTTAAGATTTTTGCTTTCTTAAGATCTTTGCCCCCCTTTCCCCCCTCCCCCTCTAAGATCTTTCCCCCCACCCTTCCCCCCCCAAAAGATCTTTTCCCCTTTCACCCCCTGAAACCGTTCCCCCTTTTCCAAATGCCGGAAGGTAGGAAGCTCAACATGTCAGGCGATATTCTCAGAAGGCACCATGCTGGTGGAAATGAAGGAAAATGCGTGGAAATGAATGACATGAAGCGAAATGAAGGAAAAGGAAAAACGTGAAGGAAAGTGGAGAGAAATGAAGATCTTAAGGGAAAAGGGGGGGAAACAAGAATAAGGGGGAACTGCGGAGAAGATCGGAGGGGGGGAAAAATCTTACAAGGGAGGGAAACGGGGGATAACATCTTAGGTGGGGAGAGGGGGAAAAGGGGGGAAGAGATCTTAGGAGGACAAAGCTTTTCGGGAGGGGGAAGGGGAGGGGAGAAGGGGGGAAAAGGGGGGCAAAAGATCTTAAGGGGAAAAAGATCTAGGGGGGAAAAAGATCTAAGGGGGGAAAAGATCTAAGGGGCGGAGAGTGGGGAGCGGATCTTTGGAGGGGAAAAAGGGGGAAACGATCAGGGGGGAGGGAGGCAACATCCCCAGCATCACTTGCAGCAGGTGATGCTGGCGATGATGCTAAGGATGCAAAAGCGGACCCGGGAATTCTCGAACACCCCAATGTTTTTACGCAACTATGTCCCGCACAGCCCCCAGAAGGAAGGATTTAGAGGAACGTCTTGGAATCACCGCGTGGTACCACCCTCCCCCTTCCCCCCCAAAAAAATAGTCTGAAACTGTGCCCCCGGGGAGGTAAAGAGGCAAGGAGCATCATTCCTTATGTCCAACACGCCGTCTGTTGTCGGCGGATTTTCTTGCAAACGCAGCTTTCTGGAATCTCCGCAGCTTTTCGCCCTGCACATTTTGTGATCTCAGGAAGTTCCGGCAAACCCTGACGAGGTTGGCAAGGCAGGAGACTTGGAGTTGCGCGACCAAAGTGCGTTCAAGTCATAGTGGGGCAAAGTGCTACTTAGACTTGCTCCTGTGTTCGGTTGCATGTGCTTTGGCAAGGCTAGGCAATCGGACTACGGACTGTGTTGTTGTCCAAAGTTGGATTTAACACGTTGCCTGCAATGTTATTTTTGAACAGTGTTTCGCCCACCCATCGCTGGACTTTGCCTGAAGAATGCAGTTTCTAGCGGATCTTGATTTTGACTTGAAATTTTGACTGTGGGTCCCTGAGAGCTCCTGGGAAGTACTACTGGACAGACACAGACAGCTTTGCTGCTTGCTGCCTCAGGCCAAACACTGTCAGAAGTTCCTTTGGCTGAGTTGTGCAAGTTGTGCTGTGTGTTTTGACGCCTTGCACCTAAGAGTTGAAGGTGGCTGTGGCGCCAACCGATGCAAAGCGAGCGCCAGGCTTCCGAGAGTGGCGACTCCGACACAGACTCGGAAGACCGCTTTGGGTCAGCCGGTTGGGAATGCTGGGAACTGTTCATGCCCAACTGGGGACAGCAACAAGTTGCAGTACGGATTCGGCGTAGGTGCTGATTAAAAGTCTCGGGGGCTTCCACCCGTGGGCTAGGACTTGCCGCGGGACATCCTGGGGGAGCTGCACATCTTCAACCAAGTGGCACGTGGGAGGCAAAGTGCTTGCCAGATAGGCGAGGGGAGGGGGATGGGGGAGGCGTCAGGCATCACTGATGCACCGGAATCGCCCAGTGTTGTGGTTTGGAGTGCCCTTCGGTTCGATTGCTGCTTTGAAACGCTGGGATGGCGGAGGAACTCGTTTGTGGAGCTAGGAGGAAACATGCGCGGAGAGTGGCCTTGAGTGCGGATGCCCAAGCCCTGCAGTCAAGTCAAAGCTGACGGGAGAAGATGCGGATGGGGAGATCGTGCAATTGACTGCAACTTGGCAAACCTATCCTGATATATGACCGAGGCTTGGATCCACATCCACCAAGGGGGAGTTTGATAGGTCCAGTTCCCGGCCTTTTGATAATTCTGGTTGAGCCGATTGCTGGGGAAGTTTGCGCTCTTGCTTCAGCTTAATCTTCCTACTACAAGCACTGGCGCTACTCTGCAAGTCACAGTAAAATCATCATGGTGGCATCATCTTCCGCTTGCTGGATGTTTAATGTATGCACGTCTGAAGTGCGTTTGCATATGTGCGTGGGGTATGTTGAACAAGAACTATTTCCAAATGCCGAAATCATGTTCATGTTTGAGCCATCGTGTGTTTTGTGGCTTCTTCAAAAAAGGTCAGCGCGTCGGGAGGTCCAACGTGAATCTTATTCAAATCATGCAATAATACGTCGCGTAGTGTTTGCATGTGTTCTGTGCGACTGGCTCCTTGTTGAGAGTGCAGGCTGTCCTTGCGGCAACAGGCCCATTGCTGAAAGTGATTCCATGCTGTTCTTTGCGCGCCTTGAGTTCCCGCAAGGCAACCTCAAACGAGCACTAGTTCAATCCGAACACTCCCCACTCGCCTTAAATTGCCACACGCCTGTGCCAGTTCCCAAGAGTTGCAAATGGTTGTTCATTGGCAGTACTTTGAAGTTGCTGAACCATCTGAAGCAAAATATTCGCCTGGAGCTGGAGACGCGCAGTCCGCCTGGACCGGATTTCTCGCAGCTCGCAGTTGCTTCCTTTCTTTTGCTTTGGCCCAAACGGTCGCAGACCTTTTAGGTTCAGCACGCAGGTGAGGCGCCCAGTCCACCCCTGCGAGCTGCAGTGGGAGGTGCACGCACCGGCCGAGGAGGATCAGAAGGGCCGCTCCAGCGTCGTGAGGTGCGCGTTTCTCGGCCCATGCTTTCCGTCGGCACTTGGATCGTTTTCTCCAGGAAGGGCATTGTGGACTCCTCCAGCCCCTTGGGCTTCCTTTGCGACGTGGACTCGGAAAAGCGGGACAGGGATTCGGGGAGCGTGGCTTGTTCGAGTTCCGACTGTGAGTCTTTGCCTGCCTGGCCAGCGCAACGGATGCTTGTGTCTTCCCATGGCAAGAATTTGAGGAACTAAGGGCTGCCGCCCTGTGCCGCCGCCCCCGGCGTGACTACGCGCTTTTTGTCGTTTCAGATATTAGACCCGACTTGGAATGCAGGTGATGCATAGTCATGATTGTTATGATAGCTGCTGCTCATGCTAGTGGATGCATAGTGATGATTATCATCAGGATGTCGTCACAATAACTGCTGGTGATGCTGGGGATGCGTAGTGATGATGATGATCATCAGCATCATCAGCATCATCAGCATCATCATCATCATCATCATCATCATCATCATCATCATCATCATCATCATCATAACCCGACTTGCAAAGTGAGGATTTCATGACTGCTGGCCATGCTTGGAGATGATTATCAGCATCACTGATGTTGGGTGATGATTTGCATCATCAGGATCATCATTATCGTGGCGCTCTTCTTTTTCATATACGTTTCAAGTGTGAGGTTAGACCTGACTAGAAATGTGGTGATGATAATCATCAGGAAGACAAGGACGAATACAAACCCTTTCCATGCACTCCCCTTTGGAGAAAGGGGTCGGCGGATATTGGACTCAGGTTTGCCCTTACCTCTCAGTCCGCCAGAAGATTAAATCCAGACAATGATAGCTTTTTCGTTTTTGTTGGCTCGCCAGGAGAGCGGTTTTTGCTGGCTTTTGTTCCACGTCGCAAGGGGCGGGAGGAATTTGAGGGCAGTTGTCTCAGCCCAAGTCTTGTTGGAGCTCTCCCGAAAAGAAGCACAAGAAACTGCACCCATCAAGAAATTGTTTGCGGTCGGTTGCCCAGCAGTGGTCATCCACATTTGGGTGGGTTTCTCAAGTGGTCTTGCCTTCGCACCAGCTGCTGGTCGCAGGACTGGTTCGCCTGCTGCAGCAATGTGGCCTACACCGAGGGCTCGATTTGTTTCCCTTCAGGGCAGCTTGGCAAAGGTGCCAGGGGGAACTCGTCAACCAAAACTGCGTCTTCGCAGAAATAGATTCCTATGCGTTTCGATGTTTGCGGGTTCTGCCTATGAGTTGTTCGGGCGGTGCGGTCTTCCATTTGATGTCTCGGCGTCTCAGGGCAGCGGAAATCTGAATCTTGCGGGAGTTTTGTGTCGGGTGGCGGAAGGTGCAGAAAGACTGCCGAGGTTGACAGTCTTGCGCCAGCAGCACTTAAAGTTCTTCTTGTTGACGGTTGATCCTCAAGTCGCTGGCCTGGCCATCCGCGTCAGCGAGGGTGGGCTCACTGGCATGCGGATGCACCGGAAGGAGTTGGGCTGTGACGGAAGTGGCTGTCGTCTGACGCAAGCCTGGCTTTTGTCTTTAGGAGCTGCAGCTGGCGGTAAGCCCAGAGGAGCTCCGCTTCATTGATGCCTTCCGTGCTTCCCTGCGGGAGGCCATGCTCAGCCCAGAGGCCTTGTGTCTCAGCCAGACTAGAGCCGCAAAACATTGGATGATTCTGATTGCCTATGTTCCACTGCAAAGCGAGCAACCATTCCCATATATTAGTTTATTGTCTCTCTTTCTCTCTCTCTCTCTCTCTCCCTCCCTCCCTCCCTCCGTCCCTCCCTCCCCCTCCCTCCCTCCCTCCCTCCCTCCCTCCCTCCCTCCCTCCCTCCCTCCCTCCCTCCCTCCCTCCCTCCCTCCCTCCCTCCCTCCCTCCCTCCCCCCTTTGCAACGTTCAAGCAACATCTGGCCCTAGCTGGGACACACTCGGGATACTACACCGCCGTGAACAGCAACTAGAGCAGCGCCAGACGCCACTAGCCACGCCCCGCACCGACCAAGACGTACCAAGACGTGACCGGAG